TACATTATCTTATAATCAGGTGATTTTCAATGGTACTGTAAAACAGATACACAAAGTATAGATCAAAGCTACACCCTGAGTTAATTTATGGTTTTAAAAAAGCAAGCACATTTACATCAGGTAAAAAGAATATTTTATTTCAGTACATTTATTTTGAAATCACTATCATACATATCCACCAACTTTCCTATTTCATTGTCTGTATCTCAGGTGATAGAGATGAAGTTAATGCCATTTTTTGCAGCAAATCTAGAATACTTCACCTTCAATAACTTACTTCGTATTCAACACTTGGTAGTAGTGTTTATGAAATGAAGTAGTGCAATAAAATATTGACGTATCTTTTGAAAGGCAAATAGTTATAAATGTGGATTTGTCATCCCAATTCCTTGGCACTCAATAATGTAAGTGTCTTTGGAGGCATCTTCTTCATCTTCAGATTTCTTCACAGTAAATTTGGCCTGAAACCAGAAGGTAGCATATAATGATATAAAGAGCACTAAGGGAAATACCCATAATTCCTGCTACATAGGCAAGTAGGTGACATCAAACTCCTTTACTGAAAAAGCTACACAGATACAAAGATGATTAAGGAAAAACTCAATAAAATAAAGTATTTTACTTTAGAAGTATGTTCTTTTCCAGACGTACACATACTAATAGAGCTTATATATGTATGTCAGGGGTCCCATTCATTATTCACTCAATGAGAACTGTCCAGAGTATAGGCTGGGAAATTACCAAATTTAAAAATTCAACTGTTGATTATATTGCACTCCATTTTCTACATTCCAGAAAATGGCATTTTTTTTCCTTACAAATTTAACTCCCTAAAAAAAGATCCAATTCAGGGAAGAATGGTCTCAGAGAAAAAGTGTGGAGGGTTGATTAACAACTTCTTTTATCCTTATAGAGAGCTTAACATTGCATTTATCAATTGAAAAGTCATTAAAGTTAGGCTTTAATACCTATCCGCTTTATATTAATGCATTCTGGGAAAATTATTTTTTTCCTAAAAGCAAATGTGCTCTGTTTAACTCAATTACCATCATATCAAAATAACAGAACAAGGTGACCGAGTTTTTTGGCAAAGAGATTTCAAGTTCCTGTATTATGTGGTAGTATACTGACACACAGTGGACATTAATAGGTCTTGATGAATAAATGCCAAGTGGCAAGAAGCTGAGCTGCAATCACTAAGGCATGTGGTTTGAGGCCACCAGCTGCTCCGAAGGAGAAGGACAAACATTCTCCTCCTGTGTGATTAACTGCCTCTAAAAACTCACCAGAGGGTCAGTTCCAACTCTACAGTATACAACAATGAATGAATGGAAGTTGCCACATGTCTACATGTGCTAGGCAGCCAAATTATTTATACAGTGGAGTGTGTGTGTGTGTGTGTGTGTGTGTGTAATATAAAGCATATGAAAATATGAAACAGATAACAGTTATAGAAATAACTTCTATATTCTTTGGGGAGGGACATCAAGTTAGGATGATGATGAAGGAGAGGAAGACTCTCAAGCAAGTGAAGTGACACAGTGACAATAGGCCTGAGTGTGTCAGAGATTGTGAGGATGGCACAGTATAGGACAGGGTTCAGGTCTGTTGTTCACTGCTATGAGTCACGCTTGACTCGATGGCACCTAAGAATAGCAACAATTTATAAACTTACTTAAAATGTCTCAAATTTAGAATTGAAAGGATTTAAAAAGGTTATCTAATATTGATAAACAGAAAAATAACGTTGTTTATCCCAAATTATACAGTTAATACATAAAAAAAGCTGAATAAGAGACCAGAGCTACTAAATTCCAGTTTATAGAGCTTTTTCCATTATGCATTCACTTAAAATAATATATAATAATAGCAAAAAAAAGTAATGTTGTTTTAATCATGTGAATTTAAAACCAGCTTATGGAAAACATCTTGCCTTACAAAGTTCTGCATTATAAATTTCAAATTATATTATCAAAATATATTATAAAGATTGCAAAATAAAAACATGCTTTATGTTATTGAAAAAGGGGAAAAAAAAAGAAAAAGGCAAGAAAGAGCTATATACGTTAGGAATTGAAACAGATCTGCCCATGATGCGCTGCTGCGTCATAAATGGTAACCTCTATGTCTGCGATTATAATCCATTTGGAAGTGGGTTGTCTTGATAGGTTATGTTAATGAAACAGAATTAGCTTAGAAGCAGAAGCTCTGAAAAGACAAGGATCTTCTCTCAGAGACAACTTATAGAGAAAACATTCCCCTAAGACATCCATTTGTGGTATTTTAGTTATAGAAGCAGTAGACAACAAATGAAATCATTAACTAAAAAAATAAAAAGAGAAACAATTAGAAGATTAGAGAAGAAAACAATTTTTTAAAAAAAATTTTGTGGGGACACAATTTAATACATGGCATAAAGGGAATAGACAACTCCACAGATTAAAAAACATAAATTTTTTTTTAAAGTGCTCTCATTACATTACATACATAAGTTATCTGTTTGATTGGTTCTACATTTTCAATAAACATCATTTTGATAGGCTGTATTCTCGTAGAGAAGAATGTGATGTGACCAGTCACATGGCTTTTCATTCTTCTCTACGAAAAAAACATAAATTTTTAATAGTTGTTCTGCTGGCAAAGGAGAATTATGCATGGAATTTCCTCTCCATTTTCCAAATTTTTTATAACAAAATTACATTTCTTTTGTCATGAGAAAATATGCGTATATTAATCATTCTTTGGAAGAAGGAAGAATCCTGTCAGAAAGGTGTAAAAATAAGCTCTGTTGTTGTATACCATCAAGTCAGAACCGACCCATAGCTGACCCTCCATCAGGTTTTCAGAGGCAGTTAATCACACAGGAGACTTCTCATTCTTTTCGGATGGCGGCCTCAAACTGTTTGCCTCTGGGATTGCAGCACTGCTACTTGCCACTAGGCCACTAGAGCTCCCTAAAATATAAGCTCTAAAGTGTTAAATGTTTATCACAAAAAATTAAAAATTTATACTTAAATTTAAGAGGACTGATGAGTGTTTACTTAACAGTAAATAATTCTCTGCACTCCATCAGCAGAATCAAACGAAAAAACAAACTCCTTTAAAATTTTAGATGAATATTTAGGTTTACAGTCTCTTGTCATGTGATCTCCTAATTCTCATAAAAACATGTTTACTAATTCTGTAATTCAGTTCTGTACAATGATTACAGAACACAGGCTTTGAAGCAATCTTGTGGGTTTGCTTCCAGCCTAGCTCTGTCATTGGGAACTTTGTGGTCCTTAGCAATTTATGCCTCTTTATTACTCAGCTTACTCACATGTAAAACAGGAGCAATGGAAAACAGTCTACAGTAATTATTTATGTAAACGGCTCAGTTTGCCTGCTACATAAAAGTGTTCAGTGATAGCAATTTTTATTTTTACTAAATTTTCTTTTTACTGAAATCTGACTCCAAATTGGCTAACACAAAAAGTAATTACACTCTGATAAAAACTTACTTTTGCTAGTTGTTCAGCAAAATGTATAGCCGTCTGCGTATGGAGCGTAACTGGTCCTGTTTTTATTCTGGAAATACCATTAGCTAATGCCATGAAAATGATCAGCTATAAAAAAAGAATAAGAAAGAATTTCATATACTTATTAACATGTGGTATTATAATCCATCTGCAATCTATTGTGAAAATACAACTGGAAAGCAATCAGCTGAAAAGTAATTTCTGTTTT